ACTAAGAGTTTACTGGTAAATGGAAAAGAAATAAATAGAAAAAGCAGATTTCATGTCCAATCGGAAGTTTTTGTCTTCTATCATTTTCAATACAAAGTACATACATACAATCAATGTTTAATAAACATTAACTATATATTTATTGCAAATAAAATTGTCAAAAAATATATTTTTTATTTTATAATAATTTAATAAATTTGATGACGCTATTACAATTTCTATTCAATATATTGAGATTATAAGGGCTTAACTATGTAATTTAATTTTGGTATTAGCAGTAACAGAAAGGTTTTACCCTTACAAATTGACTGATGCTACTCTATCATTTTTTCCGAATTCCGAATTGTTTCACAAAAATTAAATTAGATATTAAGGCCCCATTAAATAGAATCATGTATTAAGGCCCCAATAAATAGAATTACATAGTAAGGGCCCAAAAAATAAATAATTTTTTACAGTAAAATTTTCAAATTGTGGTAATTTTTGCAGTTAAATTAATTTGAAAATTATTAAAAAAAAAACAATTTGTATACTTAAAATCAATTTTAATTTTTTCTTAGTAAAATTAATAGGGGTGTGAGCCTTTATCATAATTGAATATCTTCTCTATTGATATTTTAGTTTAATCAGATTGATTTTCCCTTAAAATTTCTTAACTAGTTTTGGTTTTAAAAAAAAAAAACCTCTTATTGTATAAGTTGTTGCATAAGTTTTAATTTCATTAAGGAAAATAAAAAGAAATATTAAGAAGTGAAAAGAAGTGTTAAGAAAAGTTTATCTTGTAATAACAACTAAATGTATTAAACTTGGATCGAAAGATACGTTTATAATTATAACTTCTCTTCGAAATACGTTTATGCATTTAAATTAATTTTATAATTAATTAAAATATATTAGAAATTTTATTTTATTAGAAATTTTGTATTTTTATTGCCGGTAAGTAAAAGGTCCTGAAAATTAAAAATTTTTAAATTTTTATTCAAATTATTTTGCGCTTTTCTTTCGTTTTTTTGTTGTTTTGTCATAAGTTTTTCAACTTTATTTAAAAGAAATTTAATTTTTTTTTTGTTTTGTTTTCTCAAATTTATTTTTTCTTTTTTACTTTATATTTTATTTTTCTTTTATATTATTTATATCCTAATTACATTTTCTTTTGCTTGAATATATAATATATTCTTTTCATTTTTATATAATTATATATTATGTATATCTATTAATAGAATTTTAATATTTTTGTAAGAGATATTTACAGTTTTATCTCCATTTTATGCATTTTGTTGTAAGTGTGTGTGTATATTTTAAATTTTAACAATGTGTTTTGTTCATTAATTTTTCAAATTATTTACTTTTTTTTTTCTTTTTTGTTTTAATAATTTTTTTTTATACTCATTGATTACAAATTTGTTTTTTTTTTTCTTATTTTTTTTTATTTTAAATATTATTTTCAGTAATTATATTTTTATTATTTTTAAATATATATTGTGTATATAATGGGTATTTTGTTTTATTTTATGTATTAATTTTTTTTTTTATATAATTTAGATTAGTTTTTCCAATTTCAATTGAATTTATATTAAAATTACATATTATATAATAATTATGTTATTAAAGTAATTTTATAAATAATTTATAATTTATCTCTTTATATAAGTGAGGATATTCTATTTATAATAACGAAAATAAAATTTTTTTATTAAAATGTCTTAATAAAGAATTAAAGAAATAAGAAATAATACAATTTTTTTTTTTTTTTTTAAATTACAAAATGAAATAAATATTATCATTAAAAAATATGATTACTTCAAATTGGTTTTACAATTGGATCGTGTAGATCTGAAATTTAAATAAAAATTCTCATTTACGAGTATATGGGTAATTTGTTTTGTAGCTCTAAAGCCGATCAAATTTATTTTTAAAAAACATTCCTTAAAGGTCAACGTTTTTTATGAATTTTTACAATTGCAAATATTTAGTGCTAATATTTTCGTTTAGATCAAATACTAACAAAAAATATTCAAAAGAATAATTTCTAAGAGACATTAAAATTAAATAGTATTTCACATAGAGATTTGTGATTAATGCAATCATTATATATTTTTTATATATAAAATTGAATACATATATAATATTTCATTTTATATGAATACAAACGAATATCCTTATTAAAAATACCTTATTATAATTTTATAAAAAAAAAAATTTGTCTTATTTTTTATTAAAATTATTTATACATAATTAAATTTTGATTGAAAATTTTGAATTTCTATCACTTAGTTCAATTTGCACAATAACATTGCACATTTTCATACAAATTGAACTAAATAATAAAGATTTTCATAAATTAGAAGAAAAAAAAAAAAAAAAGAAATTCTGAGCTAAAAAATAATATTCAATTTTCTTTCAATTAAAATTTAGTTTAAAAGTCAAGAGAGAAAAATAAATAAGGTTTATAAACCGACTGATTTGTAAAAAAAAAAATTAAAAATAATCAAAGAAAAAAAAAATTTTTTTTTTTTGTTTCAAATATTAAATAATTTTATATAAAGGGTTATATAAGGCCCCATTTACCCAGAAAATAAAAATTATTTAATCATGTAATTTTTAGCTGTTGCAAAAGATCTCAGTATTTTTTTTTTTATTATATTAAATTATAAATTGAATTTCAATTACAATCAATTATTATTAATTCTTTTTTTTTTTGTTTTTTATATTAAGTTTTATTATTTTTTTTTAATTTCTGTAAATATAAATTTTTTAATAAAGTAATTTGCAATAATTTTTTAATTTTTAATAATCATTTTTTTCTTGTTTTTCAATTTAAAATCATATGCAATTTAATTATAACAAAAAATTATAGAGATTTCAGTCGTAATTTAATTTGAAATTTATTTTAAGCAATCGGAACAAAAATATGGAAATTAGAATTTTAATTGTAATTAAAAAATTTGAAGAAGTAAAAGAATAAAGAAAATTATCTTATTATTTGTAGCTTATATTTGAAATTCAAGTTTTGGGAAATGTATTTGCCGAACATTTTAACTGTTATATTAAATAATCGGAAATTTAAGATTTCAGAAATTGTGTTACATAAATTGCATATGATATTAATATTAACATTTTTTTAAATGTTTTATTAATTATTTAATATATTATATAATATTAAATAATTAGTTTTAAATATAATGTGTATAAATAATATTAAACATATTAATATTTTCTTAATTTTGTTTTTGTTTTAAATTGAATTTTACTATAGTACTATTAATTAATTGTTTTTATTTTATTTTATAAATCAATTTTAATTTTGTGATTTTTAAATTTAAATTACTATTATTATTTTTGTTAAGTTTTATTGTATAATCATTTGTTATATAATATTGTTGTGTATGGTTACATATATAATATAATTCTATTTTTTTGTTTTTTTTTGCTAAATTTTTTATATTATTACTTTCTTGTTTTTTTTTTTTAATTTTTAAGAGTTGCCATTAAAATACAAACATTTATTTTCATTATTTTATTTTTATTTTATTTTTTCATCCTTCTCTACAATATTAATGTGTTATTTTCATTGATTTTAAAAATTTTATTCTTGTTTTGTTTTTTTATAATGTTTTGTATTAGTATTTGTATAAGTTTTATAATTTCTTAGAAATCCTTATATTTAAATTGATTAATTTTTTTTTTTATTAATTATTATAAATTTTGTTTTTAGTTAAATTACACAAAACACTTGTTTTTTTATTTTTTATTTTCAAATTTTCTTAATTTTATAATTTCTTTTTCTTTTAATTTTTTTTTTTTTTTTTTGTTAAACTAATAAAAAAAAATAATAAACAAAAGCAAAGAAATCTGTCATTCCTTATAATTAAAAATTAAATTATATTTAAAAAAAAAATGAATTAATTTTTTTTTTTTGTGTTGTTTTAGATTTTATGAACAAATTTGAATTAAAAAAAATAATTATAATAAACATTGTTTCAATTTTGAACTAAAATTATAATTAGAAATATTCATATTAGAAATAAATCATTTGTGAAATTAACCTAAAAATTATTGTAACGTAAATTTTATGATCTTAAAATTGTTTATTAATTGTGTTATAAAATACAAAAAAAAATAAAAAAAAATTCATGATGGCAAGTAGCCAAAAATCAAAAATTTCGCTAATGAAATATTTATTTATTTTTTTAAATATTAAATTTCTATTTATCATCAGAAAAAAAAAACATTCAATTTTATTTATTCTGAATTTTATTTTAAATTAATGCAAAAATATTTAATTATTGTATAAACATTATGTTTTATATAAAAAAAAATTCATTCGAAAATAATATTACAATTAAACTATATAAAATTTGAAAACCGATTAATAAGAAATATTAAATGTAATATTTATTTATTATTTTTATTTAAAATTTTAATAATTACAATAATTTTTAAAATATTTGGTGTTTCAAACCATACTTTTATTGAAATTTTTGTATTAGAAAGATTTTTTGAATAAAACCTTTTTAATAAAATTTTCATTGTTTAATTTTAAAGAATTTTTATTAAATAATCGGAATTTTGATTAGCAAATTATAAATTTAATATTAAAAATAATTAAATAGAAATTATTATTAGTTGCCAAATGTAAATATGTATTAGAAATTAAAAAAAAGTATTTAGGTAAATTAAAAATTTTATTTGTTTTGGCAGTAAATTTTATTATTTTTAATTATCGAATAATGTTTATATGATTGTTACGCATATATATAAATTATTTCAAAAAAAAATATATATATAAATTTCAATGAATGAAAGTAAAAAATAGTATGTAATTTATTTGTTTTTCATCAAATATGAATATTTCTATTAAATATAATATAAAAATGGAATATAAATTAATAATAGTTTTCATAATATTTTCTAATTTTGTATTTAATATTTTCTTATACATTGTTACATTATATATAATATGTATTTATATATATATATATAAATATATTTTTTATGTACATTTACAAAAAAAAAAAAAAGCACATTTATATTTTTAATTTTTTTATATAATTTGTTTTTGTTTTTTTTTTTTAAATATATTCTTATTTCAATTTCATTGATTATATAATATTATTAAAGTTTGTTTTTTTTCTCTAATTTTTATTTTGTTTTCCTTTAATTTGATGAATTTCTCATCTAAATAATTATTAATTTTTATAATTAAATTTTAGCAGTATAATTTTATACTTAAAAATATTTCTTTTTGCTTTCTTTTTGTTTTTTTTTTGTTTCTCTTTTCCCTTCTTTATTCAAAATATTGAAAAATCTTGTGTTGCTTTTATGTTTTCTTGCTTTCTACTTCATCATAATAATAATTTCAGATTTTTTTTTTTTATCTTTTAGTTATTTTCTTTTATTTTATATGTTTTTTGTTTTCTTTTTTCTTAAATTTTCTCACTTTGCGTGTTTAGTTTTTGTTTTTTTCTCTTTTAATTATTTCGTTTTTGGATACGGTGCACTCTTATATCGCGCTTCACGGCTACTATGTGAATGTTTTGATGAAGAACCAACTTCATCTACGTGACGCCTTGACGACGATTGGTAATAATCTGTAGCGGGTACTGAGGTGGTTTTCCAGGATCGTGCGCTTGCTTTTGACGCTCCTGCTTCACGTAACATACAAGTGATATGTGTATATATATATAAAGTTAAAGTTTTTGTTTTAAAATTAAATATTATTTTGGAAAGTTTTTTTTTTTTTTTTTTTTAAATTTATTATTAAGTTTTTTATACGTTGTTTAATATATTTTTAATTGTTGTTTTAGAAATTTAAAATTTTTTAAATTTAATATATATGTGGTTATATAATTAATAAAAATTATTATATTTATGTATTAAATAAAAAGACAATTAAAAATTTATTTTATTAGAAAATTATTAATTAAATTTAAAATTTTTAAATTCTTCTTGGTTTTTTTTTTTTTTTTTATTGTTGATTTGTTGTTATAAATGTAAATTTAATTTTATTATATATATATATATATATATTTTTTAATCAAATGTTAAAAAAGTCAGTAACTGGCTATTTAGGGTCATAAATAAGAACAAATTAAAAAAAAAATTATAGTTGTTTTTTTTTTCTTTTGTTTGTATTTTCAAACTTTTAGATTAGATTAAAAAAGAAATTTTTTTAATATCATTTATTTGGGTTTTCTTTTTAAAAATTTAATGCATATTTTTTTTTTTTGTTGTATAAGAGTTATTAGCTGAGAATTCTGGTGAATAAAGCAAAATTATGAATAATTCTGGTAATAAAAAATTACTTATAATCGTACTAAAAGTAATTTAGATAATTAAAAACAAAATTTTGATATTAGTTCGAACTAATATTGTTTTAATAAATAATTTATATTAATTTATAGTAAATTAATAAATAATTTATTGAAAATTTTGAATAAGTAGATAGCTGATCTTGTAAAGTGACAATAATCTTTAGAATTTTATATAATTTTTATATTCCAAAGCTATGATCACGTTAAAGTTCTAATTCTTTGATCAAAATCAACTTGATTCGATATAATGTAAATAATTAATTATACAACGTATTACAAAGCTTCTATGAACCGAATATTTTTGGATTATATTATAGTCTAATAATTAGTAATCATTTATTTTAAATGTACGTATAATCACGTTTAGTCTGGCCTTCATAAATTATAAAAGTAATTTTGAAATAGAAGATATAAAAATGAAATTACATGTATGAAATAAAAAAAAAAACAATGTTTTTTTTTTTTTTTTATTATGATTAAAATAAAAAATAAACGAACAAATAACCGAAATATAAATTACGATGACTAATACGTAACGTAATGAAGAAAAATTTTCCACATGGACTGAAATAGGATGACTAATTGCAAATTGTATGTGTTTTAGATTTCAATAATTTTTTGTTGGAAAAAGTTTATTTATAAAATCTTTAAAAAAAAATTTAGTATTCTATTTGTGAAACAACAAAAAATATTTGATTTAAATTTTTGTTCCCAACATTTCATAGAATATACGCTGCTTTAGAATACTCTTGCTGTTTTCCCGATATATAAAGTACTAACATGAAGCGTTTTTTTGTTTTGTAGAAATATTCTACAAAATTTAAATGAAAAAAGTTCAAATAAAGCTAAAAAATATTAAATAAATATATTAATATATCAAATTAAAATTAATTATTAATTTTATTCATTATTAACTTTATTTACCAGAATAATTAAAATTTTTATATGTATATGTATATGGGAAAGCATTTTCTTTATGGTGTTAAATTAAATATTTGTTACTATTCATTTAAAAAATTAAAAAGCATAATTAATTAAATATTTTTTAAAATATTGATGTCAGCTATTTTTTAATTTTCTTATTTAATTTCAATCAAGTCTATATTTTAATTTTAATTAAATTCTTTAAACACAACATTCATTGGAAAAACAGAAAAAAAAAAATAAATAAATAAATAATAAATACTCTTTTTGCGCGCACACAAATTTTTATAATTATGTTTGTTAAAGATTTTAAAAATATTCTAAGTTAAATTTAAAATTTAATTGTGTGTGTGGATTATTTCTTCTTCAAAAAAATTTTTAAAATTAAATTAAAATTATATTAAAATTATTAAGAGCACTTGTATTTTTTTCTTTTTAATTTTATTATTTATTTATAAAATTTATAAAATTAATTTCAATATTTTTCAATTTAATAGAAAAAAAAATGCACAAAGAAAATTCAAATAACGGATAGAAAAAAAATTTTGGTTTTTTCTTTTTTTTTTTTTGTTTTATTTTTCATACTCAATTAATTATTTTCTTTTAATTTATATATATGTATGTATTTCTTAATAGTAAAAAAATTTTAATTGAAATTCTTTTTGTTTTAAATTGAAGTTAAATTTAAATTTTTTTAATATATATAAGAACGAACCTACAGCATTTAATTATTAAGTAGGTTAAATAAAAAAATTTTATTAATTTTTTTTTATAAAATGTATGAGGGAGCAAAATAATTTTCTAGTAAGATGGTTAATTAAAACAAAAACCAACAAAAAAAAAAAAATAATTTATGTAAATAAATTTAAAAAAAAAAAAAAAAAATTATAGTAAATAAAAAAATTAACAATTCATACCTGTATAGCTTGGTGATGGCTGATAATATTCCCTGCGATATTCTGGTTCATATTCAGCTGTCTCATATTGTGCACTTCTTGGTGGTGGTGCATGTGCATATGAATAACTATCATATACTGGAGCTTCATAAGCAACTTGTTCTTCATAATGTCGGCTAAAATAAGAATAGTTTTCGTTATAAGAGCCCCTAAAATGCAAATAAAATTTTATAAAAGAAAAAAAAAAAAAAGAAAAATAAAAAGTGAAAAAAAACTTTAAGCGTTAGTGAAAAGCTTTGGTTTGGTTCTTTTTTTTTTTTTTTTTGTTAATTATGATTTTAATCTCGCTTTAATGTTAATTATTATGTTATGTTAAAAGTGGAATGATGCTGCTCATTAATGTTAATTTTAATTTAATTTTTGTTTTAATCATTAAATATTTGATTTCTATAATACATTCCAATTGAAATTTCTCAAAATAATCTTTTTTAATAAAGAATTAGAACACATCCGAAATTCAATTTACATAGTCTGTAATATTAAATGTAATAAATATTATGATCAACAATGGAAAATATTAATTTTATAACAAACAAATTTATTTAGTGTTTAGTAAAAAAAAAAAATGGGAAAAAGAAATATGTATTAATTGAAGAAGAAATAATAAATTTAGTTTTGTTAATTTATTTTATATTTGTAATGTAAAAAGTAAAATAAAATTAAGTTTTTTTTTATTAATTTAAGAAATGTATTTACTGAAACCTTTCCTAACAAAATTTTAAATATATATAGTTTATATATTTGGAAGAAGAATTTTTAGATACACATTATAAAAAACAAAACAAAAAAAAAATAAATTAATTTTGTCTCGTTTTTTGTTTAAATAAAAATTTAAAACTTAAAAATAAATACAAAAATAAAATACCTACATAATATTTTTTTTTATAAATATAAAAATGAAATACATACGTAATTAAATAAATGATTTGACAATGAAAAACAGTGAAAAATTTTTGAATTTTCATTTCACGTTTTGTTTTTTTACTTTACACATTCAATTTACCTGTATGGTTCTTCCATTGCTGTTCTTGCTCTATCCAAAATTGAAAGAACTTTCTGTTTTGGTGGTACAGGTGTTCTACTGACTGTTTGTGGTGCATGTGGTACAGCTGCTGGTGGCCTAAAACAAAATTAATAAAATAAATTTAATAAGCAATGTGTCGGCAATAAATTAAGTTGGTACAAAATTGAAATACATATTTAAAATATAAATAAAATATAAGATATAAAATAAAACTAATATATTATTTATTAAATAAAATTTAAATATTAGATTTATTTATAAAATTTTGGCAATATATAGTTTAAATTTTATCATGAATATTTTAATTGTTTTGCGCATTTGTACCCCCTACTAATTATATAATAAAGGAATTTTAGTATTGTTAAAATGTGGCTTATCTATAAAATCTACTTTTCATAATCAATAAAAAATAAAATGTATTTTTTTTTTAAATAAGTTTAATTACATTAAAATTTATAAAGGAAAGAGAAAATAAACTTTCTAACAAAACACGTGAATAAAAATTGGCTCGAAGCCAGATTACATTAAAATTTTAATAATTTTCTCTACATTTTTTTTTTTTTTTTTTTTGTATTATTACGTACTTATGCATCAAAAAAAGAAAAAACAAAAAGTACCAAAAAAAAAAAAAAAAATCTATAAAATTTGTTGATTATTTTTTCACGCTATTTTGATTAGGTATTCGAATGCGAATACAGTCAACACAAATATGTAATGTTCAGAAACATTTTGTACATATTAAAAATAAATTGGTGAAGGACAGAATAATAATATTAATAAAAATAAATAATTAATTAAATTTTCTTATTTAAGCTACAAGTGGTCATTTTGAATATATTTTTAAATGTTTAATGCCTAACATATGGGATTTGATGATCATGTAAAGATCATTTGTATCAGAATAATAATGCATGAAAATTCAAATATTGAAATGATATATTAAAATTTTGAATATAAAAAATATTCCTGTGTACTTTCATATGTACAATTTAAATTTGCAATGCATGAGATTATACAATTTCATATGAAAGAAATTAATTTTTGGTTGTTTTCAATAACAATAAATCTTGTGGGATCAAAGAAATTTAACAAAAATATTGTTGTAAATATATAATTATAATTAAATTGTAATATAACTAAATTTAAACTTGGCAAATATTTGAAAACTTTAAAGTTTTCAATATTTAACGATTTGTTTCATCGCTTATTATAAAATGAAAATATTTTTCTTTTCCCATTGATATTCAATATGAAATTATAAAATTAGAAATTCATGCAATAATAATTAATTTCTTTTAATATTAAAGTTTTATTTATAGAATCACTTAAATTTGAAAGAAAAACAAAACGCTTTAAGATTAATTTAAATAAAATAATATTATTGCATTTGATTCTATGTAATAAAAATGAAAAACTAATAATTTGAAAAAAAAAAAAAAATTATTAAATATTTTTTCTTTTTTTAATAAATTCCATATTTTTTCTTTTTTGATTTTAAGTGTGTCTTCATGAGGTTAATTAACTTTCAGATTTAATTTTTTAAATACATACATATTTAATAGAATATAATTCTGTTTTTGATATCATACCTATATCCTATGTATGATGGTTTTGGTATAACAGCACTAGTTCTTGGTTTATATATCGTTGGTTTAGCTTCACCTTCAACTGGAGGATTGTCCATTAATTCACGCAATTGTTCTTGTCTGATAATATCATTACTATCAGGTATTAAATATTTTCTTAATTCAGCCATTGCATATGCAATACGTGCATGAGCTTCAGCTGGTGGGGCAATTGTTGATATTTCAACATGTAAATCATCATTTAAATGTGCATATTTTGGATCCAATGAATTACGTAATTCTTCTTCTTTAACACGATCTTTCATTGAATTACGTCCCAAAACAGTCATTTTACATAATGTTTCTTCTTGTAGACGACGTAATGAATTACCTTTTGGACCCAATAATTTGCCAACAAAATTAAACTAAAAATTAAAAAATATTAAATTTTTTTTGTTTTTTTTTTGATGAATGACATTTGATAAATTATAAAATGTTTATTAAATTTAAAAATTTTTGAAAATTATATTTTTTTTTTAATATATTTTATTTTTTTTTTACCTTTGGGTGCTCTCTGACAGGCACAAGAATTTTTTGGGCAACACGTACTGGTTTTTCACGGTAAATATCAACATATTTTGGATCTCTGGTTGGAATGCGACCAGTTGTTTGAACTTTTTCAATTTCTATAAAAAAAAAAAATAATTAATAAATAATTTGAAAAATAAATTAGACGAAAAATTTTAATTAATTATACGAATATATTAATAAATATATATGAGAATCTATGTTTGTATATGTGAAGATAGCCTATATACCCGCGCATTTACACATATAAACCTAGAAAGTTTTCATCAAATTTTGATTTTCTAGTTAACAATGAATATTTTGTGACATACTTTAACTATAACATATTAAAAAAATTTTTAAATACATATTGTTTTTTTTGAATCATGTAATCGATTACCAAAGTTAAAATTGCGTTTACGATCTCTATTTTTATTTTGTTTAATTCTAAAAATATAATATTAATGAGAACAAAAACATAAAAGAAATGAGGAGAAAAACAAAAACAGTATGAAGTATTTATTGCATAATTTGCTACTACATATTTATTTATTTTTTTAATTTTAATTTTAAATTTCATTTAAACAAATCGATTTTAATATATTATACAAGAATAATTACGAATTGTAATTTACACTGTTTAATTAATTGTTTTAAAAATAACAATATAATTGTAAATATATTAAATAAAATCTATACTTATAAGGAGTTCTCACAAAAAACTATTGAACACCTCTTAAATGTTAATAACATGGAATTTTGAAGAACAATCAAAATCAATTTTATATAAAAATGGCAACAATCCATTAAATTTTTCATGATTATCATGAAAAGAATGAAATGAATAGTACAGTCGATTAGAGGCCCCGATTCAGAATTTTGTTAGTTTTAAGTAAACAAGCTTTGGAAATAAATTAAGACCTATTTGATAAATTAAGAGATTAAATTTTAAACGAATACATAAGAACAGATAGAGTGAAATTGCGAGTACAATATTGCGTTTATTTTGTGCTGTTGAAAATAATTAGCTCATCAATATTGAATTCTGCAAAATAATCATAATTAGTACTGTTAATAAAATTTAATAAATTATAAAATAACGAATTTAAATTCTGCATTATGAAAATATTGACAACCCGTCAATTATGATACAAAATTATTTATGTATCATTCAATCATATATACATATAAATATATTTATGAGTGATATAAAATTAGAAAAAAGTACTCAAATTAAGTATAACTGACCTAGTTAATTATTTTTTTTTTTCTTAAAGCTATCATGCTAAAATACTTTAATTTACTTATATCAAAAAGAAATAAGTAAAAAAAAAAATATTAATCTCTTATAGCAGATATAATTTTCAATAGAATAAGAATCACATAAAATGAAGGTTTCAAGAAGACAATTAGTTCAACAACCTTTTATTATTTTTCATACATACATATAAGTAAGAAAGTATTGAAAATGATTTTGTGATGACAACAATAATAAAATATTCAAAAGAAATAGAAACAAGTAGGAAAGCAAAAAAAAAAGAACTCAAAATAAGAGAAAAAAAAGCAAAGATTGGAATTTTAGATGGTCACATTTAAGGTTCAATTAATTTTATTACACTCCATATATATATATGCACTTACTTTTGTAATATATACATATTTAATTATATTTATGTATTATAATTCTATTTAAGAATAATAAAGTATTTAATATAATATAAGTAAATACCCATATACATATTTGTTAATTTAATTTTTTTTTAATACAAATAATGAGTAAGAAGGGGTAGAATATGGGAGTAAAAATTTAAAGGGGATAAATTTTTATTGTGTAGTTCTAATATGAACACTATTGAACAAAAAATATTAGGAGAATATTAGGAAAATTTCATTCAAAATATTCTTTAATTTATTCACATAGTTATATCAGAAAGTGAAAACGTTTGCAGTGTTATTAAGAGTGTTCCCTACGAGTGTGTTACACTCGGTAGTAGGAGAAGAGTGAGGGTGGGCTTTGGTCTCACGGCTTTGTTTGCTCCATAAGGTATTCGAATTCATCAGAAGGGTTGATCTCGAGCAGGTGCTTAGATGCCCTGCTTAGATGAATCTACAAAAGCAGGATTACTATATTAGTGCCTGATAATAAAGTAAGTATACTAATTTTCGTATTCAGGATATTATAAGCTAGAGTTCAATATTGTATTGAGTTTTAATACTTATATATAAACAAGTTTCTATTTACATAGGAGCAAGTTTCTATTCTACAATTTACCTTTCTTCAATTTCTTGGTATTTATGTACACTTTGTAAGTATGTAATTAAAATTAAATTTACTTATTTTAATACTTATAGTTAATAATTAAAATTACAAATAAATTATGAAAATATCAGATTTTGTTCTTCAATAATATTTCAAATTAATTATAGGAAACAAAAATATTTTAATTTTGTTTTTTTTTCTTTTTATAATTCATTTGTTATTTCAATATTTTTATTTGTTTTTTAATGAAGAATAAAAAAATAAGAAAAACAGACCATAACTGATTACCATTATTTATAACTATATTTGTGCCTACATAAATTTATGGGAATATTTTCAAAAAATTTACTCGAAAGAAATGAATTTTAAGTAAAACGGTTTAAGTGGTTTTTCTTCCCCCCAATTTTCATTTGAAATTTTAAGTCAATAAATATGATATATTATTCGTCAATCACAAAAAAAAAAAAATAACAAGAAAAATATGTTTTTGATTTAATAAATTTTCAATATCAATAACATTTTTTTTTTCCCCAATATATTTGAATTTCTATTAGAATTATTTTCATTTAAATTTTATGCATAAATTCATTTAATTAAATTTTATTTCATTTATGAGCCAATTACCTTGAAATATTTGTTTTTAATATTATTTTTTTTTTTCTTTTCTTTAGAATTTTTCAAAGCAATTATTTTTTTTAAGTGGTAGTCAGTTCCATTTTTTCTTCTTGCCATTTTACTATTGCCGAAATTTATTTCTAATGGAAAACAAATTTTATTTATTCTGTCCTACTTTTTATTTTTCTTTTAAAATTTCATTATTTTTTTCAAGAAACTAATTTATAACAACAAAAATAAATTAATATATGTATATATGAACTTCTGTATTTATATATATATATATATAACTATGAAAATAGTTACTAAATAGAAAATTAGAAGAAAACTTTCGCAATTTTTTTATTTTATTTCTTTATGTTTGTTTTTGCGCGACAGTAGAGTCTAAGTTATATTGAATAACAAAGGTAATTGTTTATTTAATTAGGAATTGTCCTGAATTGAATTGTATGTGCAATTAAAAAATATTGTAGGTTATACAAATATAAAATTAAATTTATTTTAATTATTATTTCATAAAAATTCAAGGATCAAAATTTTGGAACATAATAATTTTTATTAAATTTACATATATATTTTATATGTTTATATACAATATATTTTACATGTTTGTTATTTAAATACAATAAAATCAGATTTTATTCTTTATCGAAAAACAAGATTCATTCTAATATATGGCAAAAAAGTCATGAAAATTTTAAGTAATAGTATATAAAACAATTTTTTGTTTTTAAATATATCACATTATTATAAACAAATATGGACACACTTATTTTTTTTTTATTAAATTATTTTACAGTGTTAATTTCAAATATTTTACATTTTGTTGTCTGAAATTCCTAATATTTAACATAATATCTTAAACAAACATTAAGATCTGCCAAGTGTTTTTGCTTTTTTTTTTTATAAGTAATAAGCAATGAATGAAAAGTGTGCTCTCGCGATAAAATGAAATAATAGAAGATAATTAAAGTTAAAAATAAATTAAAGTAAAATAAGTAAATAACTAAAAATAAAAATACAACATAGTAAATTTAAGTATATATAAAAAAAAATTTCATTCATAAAAAAAAAATAAATTCAATTAATTACATCACGTGATTGTAATTAAACATATGTGTACTTATAAAATGACGTCGCAATTTTGGTCGTTTTCCATACAAAAATTTGGGTAAAAAAAAATAAATTTTTGATTTTTTATAAATATTTAATATATGCACTTAATAATTTCTGATTCTAATAAAAAATTCTAATTTTAATAAAAATTTAATTAGAAATATAAATCTTTCCAAAAGTATTTGGTAGAGGCAAGCCTTATAGAAATAATTAAAGCATATAATCTTATGTGTTTTGCTTGCTAACACAATGACATGAACTGGGAGCAAATATTTTACTTAATGTACTACACATATATTTAACACAATACTACATAAGTATATATTTTGTAAACCAAATTTATGCCTAATCAATTAAGTACAATTTTATGAATAATTTATGTAACACTGTTGAGTATGAAGAAAGATTTCCAGATAATTTAAAAATATAAAATTTCCATTTAATTCTTAAATTTTAATATTAAAAGTAAGGATTTTATAGAAAACAAATTATTAAAATAAGTATGAAATAAGGATTCTTAAAAATAAAATATGTATAAGTAAGTGTATTGAATTTACTTATTCTACATTTTTTCTACAGTTTTTTTTTTGTATTCGTGTACTTATTGGAAGAAATTAAATAACAAGTAAGTATGTATTCAGTAACAAAATATTAAAAAAAAAAAATTTGCATATACTCGTATACATAAAATAATAATTCGATTTTCGAAGGTCATTATGTGTATGTGTACAATATAAAAATAAAAAGTACTCTTTATTGTTTGTAACATAGATAAAAATTATTTATATACAAAGTAAAATGTGAATATTAATGCCTTCTTAAAATTTATCTTGATTTTTTTTTAAATAATTTTATAAAAAAATTTATTTTTTTTACGCCCTTACTAAATGAACCTTATTAGTTCATTTTTTTTAGTGGCAAGTGGTCCATAAATGTTATGATTTATTAAAATATAACTGAGAAAAAATATTCAATTGAAATTTTGATAAGCTAGGTATATGTTGAAAATCATTGCATTCTTAAAAAAATTCTAAAAGAAATACTTATGTGAAAGAAATTTTAATCCTTAAATAATATTATATTATTGTTATAACAAACATACAATTATTATCAAAGTAGAATTCCGGT